AATTTTCGTCTTTTGTCGCTTCTAAGCTGCAAATAAAAAAAAAAAAAAAAATGCCGATACTTCACTTTCAAGCACTCAAATAACACCATGGTATCAACAGGGTACGCTAACTCTCTTTCATTCAAATGTTTACGTTACACATGCAGGAGAGTCTAAAGTTTGGCTTGCTCACCTTGATGAGCCTTTCTTTTATCAGTTACTTCTTGCTCTATAACATTAAAAATACTCCATGCTCACGATGAGGTGATGCCCTGGGGCCACGGTACAGTATACCACCATCTCGGCGCTTCGACAGATTATCGTCAAAAGCAGTGGCGTCACTAAGGGGGGGGGGGGGGGGGGGGGGGTGACTGTCACGGCGGACCACTGTCCCGGGTGCCGCTTGCCGCCGCTGCCTCTAGCTATGATTCGGTGTCCACACTCTTGAAACACGTTTTTTCCGCCTCACCAAACAAGGCTTGACACGAGTTGGTGAGCCTAGCGATCTATTCGATCAGCTGTATACCGACTACGTCACGAGCAATGATGATGATAGCTAAAGAACCGCTCAACGGATTTCGCTCATTTTGCGAACTATTTTTCCGCTACACAGAAACAGAGAGACCTTCCAAGTTCCAAAGCACGGAAGCTAACGGCGCAGCGACCTTACCAATATAAGAACCGTATCCGCGCCTCTGCGCTCAGCGCTCATGGCGTATTTCTCGAAAACAGAATAGATATTTTCCCGTATCGAAGCGCTCCTGGTAGCATGGTGGCACGAAATGAATTTTGTGTACCAGTTGGCCACTTAGTTTTGGTTTCAGTTTCAGATTTTCTCATGATCATCGTGTCGCGACAGAACACGCTGTTTGCGTTTTCATTCATGTGACTTCCTACAAGTACACTCTCAAGAAAAAAAGAGTGTAAAAGGGTGTACCGTTACACCCTTTGTCCCATATAATATACCCCAAAACTTCAATTCCAAGTACAGCGCCCTATAGCAAAACAGACGGCCCCAAATTGTACGAGAGGCTTGATAGCCGTGTGGTACAGCTTATTAAAATAGATAATGTACGTGTTACTGACTCAAAAAAAAATAATCGGGGTTTTCTTAGCAGTACTGTAAAAACTCGGCGTTTTCTTTCTGTGGTTTTTGATACGTACTTTAGCTATTTAAAAAGTTATATCGCACCGTTATCAAGCTCCTCGTAAAATTTGGGGCCGTCTGTTCGACTATAGGGCTTAGTACGTCGAAATGAAGTTTTGGTGTGTATTATATGGGCAAAGGGTGTAACAATACGCCCTTTTACACCTTTTCTTTTAGAGTGTATACTGTAAGTGTTGCCGAATTATACTGAAAAAAAAAAAAAAAAAAAAAAAACTTGGCACTGTTCTTGTGGTTCCCAATGTGCCGGATTTCAGGCAAAGGTAGGCAAATCTAGAACGATGGATTGCAACGTCTCTTGGTGCCCCTGTCGCGCATGCACGTTCGCATGCGCGTGGAGAGAAGTTATGCAGGCTTGGAAGTTCGCGTGGTTGGCTGCAGGAGTACCGAAAACGCGGCTGTCTTATCGAAACCAAAACCATGCTACTCTACTACGTGGCCAACTGGTTCCCAGCGGGCAACGCGCGCGGTGTTGCATGGAGGTATTTTTGAAAGTGGCCTATTGGACGCGCGTACAGGCGCGATATTTTTTGGAAGGAACATTTTCGGTCTCTTTTCGTTGTCTACAGAACAGTTTTGTGTCTAAGCTCTACCGTATCGATGGCAAAAACACAATGTTTTTTCTTGTTAACGTAAACAACGGAATGATTTGACGAAACACGAATCTAAGGAATGGGCAAAGACACCGCTCCCTAGCATTTGCTTTTGTCTTCGTTCATTCCTTACCTTCGGGCTTTGTCAGAATCGTTAACGTGTCCAGATTAACAAGAACAAACCAACTATATAGTCACAGATAACTTAATAATCGCATCAAAATGCCAAATAACATTCCAAAACACGAAGCGTAAACGTAATGCTTAAATGAGTGCTGAACCGAACCCTGCTTAAAGGAATGCTGAACCGAAATTTAGATTTCGCAAAATAAGACCGCAGAAGCGTTGAACGGGACTCTTCAATCTATACATTGATATCTCAAACTGATGGCCGAGGTTTTGGAAAAGAAGGGCGCGATCAAGCGAGTACTATGACGTCACGATTTTCCTGGAACGGTGGAGAAGGAGGAGAAGTGGCCTTACTTCTCTCCTCATTTTGGTTCACCTGCTCAAGGGTACGAAGCGAAGATTAGAGGCAGTGAGAGTCGTGACGTGACGTGTCTCGTCGGCCTCGTTGGCCGTGTTCAATCGTGCACTTCTTAAAAAAAAAAAAAAAAAAAAAAGAAATACGGTTAACAGTTAGAGTTATTGCTCTATGAGTATTGTTTTTGGATTTTGCAGCGTCCCGCCTATCGCCTATTTTGTGAGCTACAAATTTCGGTTCAGCACCCCACTGACACCCTCAAACTATTTTTGAACTTTTTTCGTTTGCAAGGCAATTTATAACGGTGCCAGAAGACTACTTAATCAATATTTTGCTACAGTGTCACGTATATTAAAAAAAAAAGAAGAAACGCAACTGCTCTAAACCGAAACCGAAAATGAACCGGAGAGGAAGAAGAAATATAGAGAAAGTTTCTAAAAGTCACGTACGCGACCGCGTTTTTTTTTCCTTTTTCTTTTTTTTTTTGTCGTGAGAAGCTCACGAACTCGCACGTCGTACAAAATAAATAAATAAATAAATAAATAAACCCGCAAAAGTTACGCACTTCGTGTTGACATTTGCGCGTTTTTCAAGCTCCTACCAATTCGTGTTCGCAAGACGTCTTCAGCCAGGAGAAGGGGCGACTGAACTCGGCGACGTTTCCGTGCGAATCGCCTTTGTGGTCGGGCGTGTCGTACGGAATAAGTCCTAATCGTTTTGATCGGTAAACGATTTCTCTTTCGAAGCTGGACAGCTTCGCCAATACCGCAAAAAACAGTTTTGAAGTAGAGGTCCCACGCCTGTCCTCCGCCGCCATCGCATAGTCCGCTTCGTTCAGCGTCCAGCCCGCGACTCCCGCGATCTCTGCGATACGACCATAATACGACGCCATGTTTAGAATGACGTAGATAATACACAAAGTGCTTGCGGTTATCTGTGCAACCTTTTTTTTCTTCTTTTTTTTCAATCAACGTATTTGCAGTTTTTTAGGATCCACAAAAAATGGGTACCATATTTTTTTCTTCTTTTAATATTGAGTGTGTGCCTTCTATGGTCCACGAGTTTGGTTATGTTTGGTGTGTGTGTCTAAACCACAGAGAAACGGCACGTGACCACAAAGAAGAGAGTGAGCGCGACTCAAATCTGCCAGTTCTGGATCCGCGGTTTTCGGGCTGAAAGAAAACAAATTTCGAGCCGCAAGTTGTGTTCTGGGTAATTGGGCTCCCATACGTCATGTATAAATAAAAAGCTTGGAGAGCATAAATACCCTGTCGCTGTGAACTCAAAGCTGTCGGTGACCATAGACCAACTCAACTCTTTGACTTCTCGCCACTGCGGTGGCGCTGCTATCGCCTCTGCGCATGCGCGAATGCTTCGCCTCACGCGAATCTGGTCAAATGTGGTCTTTGTTGTGAATAGTGCCTTAGTGTATACAGCTCAACTAAAGCCCCTAACAATGTTCCACTTGCAAGCACACTGAGAATTCAAAAAGGACGCCGGCATCTACTCACGTTACGTCACGAGAGGCTCACGCAACTACGAAGATCACACAGAGAGAGAGAGAGAGAGAGAGAGAGAGAGAGTGTGTATATACTCAGCGCTGTTGCTTTTTGGACAATGCAGGACAGTTCGACAATTCAGAGGCCGGAGAGATTATAACGAACATGGATCCTAAGTTGCCGGGCAGTTTAGTCAAGATTGACCATGCCACAAGCATTCCCATTGAGGGAATACGACGATACGGCGTGGACGCTCTTCTCCACGTGGAGCTGGTGCACAACAGCGCCGCCAACAGCAGCTACGACTTCGATCTTCCGATTCCAGCGCACTCGTTCGTTGACGTGGCGGTAATCACCCTTCTCGTTTGTCTGCGTTTCAACGCCTGCACTTTTTACACCATTGTCTCTAATATCCAGATCAGTGTTCACACAAACAACGCCGCGTTAACATCTTTTTTTTTTTCTCTGCGCGAAATTACGTTTTGAATTTTATCACCAAGCATACGGCGTATGAGTGACGCCGCCATAACTTTAGTCCACACGAGGCGGGCGGCAGCGCAGGAGACGGCTTGCGCCGTCTCGTGCTCTGAGAGCGCGGAGCTGTAGCGACGTTGTCGCACACGCAGAAACTATTGCCCGGCCTTTCCAATGTCTACAGATCCACACCCCAGCATAGGCATGCGTGTGACTTGCGAAGGCGAACAATGCACGCGCCAAACGCACGAGCATTTAAATCATTAGCGGTCAGGGCCCGTTTGCTCGAAGCGCTAACCGCGGCTAAAGTTAGCCGCAGTGCCTAGGAGAGGGACTTTAAAATCACGTGACTGGCTCGGTAGGGATGCGGGGAAACATGGTGGTGCCCCGGTGAGTGAGCGCAGCTCGCTTTGGAACTAATATGTCGTTGTAGCTGCAATATCGAGCGCGTTAGTCAGCAACGAATGGTGCAGGAGGCTTTCACTTTGCCTTACCTCGCAAAGCATAAGCAATGACCTCGCCGCATTTTTTAGATAGTCTCTCGATTCCGGCCATTCCCAAGCCTAAGTAAACGCGACAATTGTCGGCACAGCAACGTCTTTGGAAAGCGGATTGCCTTGACTCAATGGGCCGGGTATTGATAGCACACATAAGCAGACAGCGTCCCAATAGATCTTTTTCTAAATTACCCAAGCATCGAGGAGAACACTGGAAGTGTAATTCTATGGTCCGCGCGCGCTGGCCTTCCTTTTATAAAAGATTGGAAGTAAATAATCATAATGAGGCTTTAAGGAACGCGCGTGCAAGTCAAAAATTGTTTTACACTTTTTGCTTTAGAATAATTACTACTGCAGACGCCAGCACGTGCAACGCGTGTAACTACACTCGTAGCATGCACCTCGGTGCTTGGGAAATTTAGAAAAAGTTCTACTGGGACGCTGTCTGCTTTTGTGTGCTATCAATAGCCGGCCGATTGAGTCAAGGCAATCCGCTTTCCAAAGAAGTTGCCATGCCGACAATTATCGCGTTCATATAGACTTAGGAATGGCCAGAATCGAAAGATTATCTAAAAAATGCGGCGAGGTCGTTGCTCATGCTTTGCGATTTAAGTGAGGTAAGGCAAAGCGAAAGCCTCCTGCACCAGTCGTTACTGACTAACGGGCCCGATATTGCAGCTACAACGACATATTAGTTCCAAAGCGAGCGGCGCTCACTCACCGGGGCGCCGTCAGGTTTCCCTGCATCCCTACCGAGCCAGTCACGTGATTTCAAAATCCCTCTTCTAGGTACTGTGGCTAACTTTAGCCGCGGTTAGCGCTTCGAGCAAACGGACCCAGAAGCTCGTTTCTGGAATGGTCTATTAACGGCGAAATGTTTTAGTGGCGCCCTTCTATGGTTCCCTCTCGTGACGTCATTACCTTGCGAACTACATGTTCGATAGGGTTTTTAGTGAGCATGGTCAAAGCTTAGAATGATTGCGCTCTGAAACCAACACTACCAAAAGCGTCACCATTGAAGTGTTTACATTACTCTTATTTCCTTCCATGAGAAATCCTTTGCTGTCGTCATAGTCAGCATTCGGCCAATCGTAGAAGGCCGACCACAGCGACGCTTTCGATCACGCACGTCGCCAATACTCAACGCCATATCGGAGGGCGATGTTTAGAGCGCATGCTCAGAACGAGCTCACATTAATAGGCTGCTAAGACCGGCAATCTTGATGGTGCGGAATGCACGTTGCAAAAGATCTGTGGAAGCTTGCCGCCAGCACGCGCTCGGCAGTTGCGCACACTGCTATGGCCCCAATGGATATTTCCTATTGGCGACGTGCGCGATCAAAAGCGTCTCTGTGGTCGGCCTTACACGATTGGCGGAATGCTGACTATGACGTCAGCAAAGGTTTTCTCATCGACAGAAATAAGAGTGGTGTAAGATATTCAATTCTGACGGTGTTATCAGTGTCGGGTTCAGAGCGCAATATTCTCAAGCTTCCATGCTAATTATAAACACCGTCGAACTTGTTGTTCGTAAGGTGATGACGTCACGAGAGGAAACAATAGAAGAGTGCCACCAAAACATCTCGCCGCTAATCGCATATTCTCTGGCGGCCATGGCTGTGCGCGCAGCTGCTGAGCGCTTTCTGACGGCTATTGGTTAAGATTTTCGTAGATCGTGTTTTCAGGCCACGATATTTGTAGCGGGAGCTCGCGCTGCCACTTCGATACATGCTCCGAAGCGCGGGCCCGTAGCGGTAACGAACCTCTGAAAACGATCTAGTAAAACTCCCTATTTTGAGCTCGTCCTTAGCATGCGTCCTAAACATCGCCCTCAAATATGGCGTCCAGTGAATACCCCCTCTAGTTCCCTCAATGCACCTGGCAGCGGTGGCGTAGCCGGACGAAATCGGTCTATTTGATAGGAAAAAAAAAAAAAAATTTGTGTTTTTTGTATGTTTATACAGCCTTGATGCTAGTAGGCCTCAACGGTAGACCTTTCTTTTATCTGTAGATGAGGAATTTAGCCAGTGCAGTAAAACCGCTAACCTGGGGGTCTTAACGTGCATTACGCAGTAGTGATCACACGAACCCGTGGCGGTACGAAACTCATCCAGATCGAAACGGGCGGGGGTGGGGACCGAACTCGGGAGGTTCTGCAGCGCAAGCTTTCGCTCCACGCTCCGAGCTGAGAAGGGTGATCCCACTCGACCACCGATCCCCCGTTCTATTTGTTGGTACCGCTGCAACGATTTCCCCTAGCACGCAGGTTCGGCCTACTTGAACTCAAGCGGGAAATATATAATCGAATGGACGACATTTTATAATTCTAAGATTCGGTAATATTGCAACTTATGCTCGTAGGTGCAGTTCACGCGCACTGTCCGAATTAGACGTGAGCCTATCTTATATACTCTATTTAAGATACTGTATTTAAAATGCTTTTGGTAGTATTTTGGCATCTCGGAAACACATTTTGTTTAGCGTATTTGTTACTCTATCTTAATTAGAAAGTCAAATCAAATTTGAGGGTTTTACGCGCCAAACCAACGACGGGCATCTGGCACGCCCCAGCGGAGGACTGAGGATTAATTTGGACCACCTGGGGATCTTTTGACGTGCAACCGAAAGCTCGGTTACACGGCGCATCCTCCGCAATAAGCCTCCGTCAGATTGCGGGCACCTCGGCCGGGATTCAAACCCGTCACATGGGGATCCGTAGGCCAGCGCTCTCGCCTCGGAGCCACCGAGGCGGCTTCTATCTAAATTACATTTCTCACTATCTTGAACTTAGTATCTCAAATACATTTTTCAACTTTTGAATGATTTTATCGCCATAACGATCTACGGAACTAGCGATCGTCAGACTCCCGAGCAAAGTTGAAATGATTGCAAACTTGGAGACAAGCGACCGAACACAAAACAGGACACAAGACACAAGCAAAGCGTAGTTTCCAAATGCCGAAAAGACAAAATGGATAGCCCCAAGTACGCCCGCCTCAATGTGTCCTCTTGTCCGCCTTTTTTTTTTTTTTTTCAAGTTGTCTTTTAATGGCACATCACGCTTGAAGCCAGCAAAGTTCTGGTGACGTCATCCGCATTTTAAACCTTTTGTCTGAAAGTAGAGTAGTTACGTCAGGGGAAGACGGTGGCGCCAAAGCTCGGTGTACAGTCACAATAAACCATTTTTGGAAATCGCCGGTTCAGGGGGCTCTGGTAGGTGAATGTGTGAGCACGAAGTTCAAACGAGAGCAGACACAGCCTCGCTCAAGAAAGCTAGATTCTGCTGGTTTCATTGAGCTGCATTGAGCTAGATTCGGCCTCCCCGAATCTTCTTGTGTGTCTACTGTGGCTTAACCTTTGCTCCGGAGCTCGTTCAAAAGCGTTTATTCTATCTCCTTCCAAATGGGCACGCATTGTTTCATCTTCATAATTCTCGAAACCAGTTTTCCGCCAGGTGGAGTCATTTATGAACTAGGTTAAGAGTTCAGGGCGAGGAAAAGGAAGGCTCGAAAAGAGGAAGCAGGCGGAAGGGCGGAGAAAGGGGAATGTTTCGTACTTTTCTCTCCAGCAATCCATCTGCTTCCTCCTCCCTAGCCTTCCTTTCTCTTGCCCTGAACTATTAACCTAGTTTATAAATGACTCCACCAGTCGGAAAACTGGTTTAGAGGATTTTGAGGATGAAATGCAATTTCTTTGGAGTCTCAATATGGCGAGTCCAGCGAAATCGACGCCACATAGCGGCAACGCCAAGAAGTACAAGAGAGGAGGTCGTTCGGCTCTGTCGTCTGTTATGGCAGCTTGGGTCTCGTAGGTAGCATAAAAACAAACATCGTTTCCAGTAATTATTTTTATGCTTCCGCCGTATCATTCGTACGCACTGACTAGAAGAAGGTTTGTACCGTCGAAAAGTCGCCTTGCTTTTACATGCTACACCGATCTTACGCTGCAGTGCAGGACATTTATGGTGGTCTGCCTGCTGAATGACAAAAACGATTTCTTTTCGTCCGCCATTTTGCCTGATCAGCGCGCCCCCTATAGTTCGCTGGAGTCGCCAATAGTGGATTCTGATTCTAAAATCTTGACCTTGATGCGTCAAAAATGATTTGAACTTTTGCATAGGGGGTTGGGGAAGGGGGTTTAGAAGCGGCTTTGTGGACACTTTCTGTGTGTCCTGTGTTTACCTCTTAACCTTCTAATTTCTTTTTCTTTGTTGTTGCTGACAGTTTGAAGGTATAGGCGTTCCTTCTGCTGTCCTCGAGTTGAAGTTTCTCTTGAGCGTGCACGTGTGTCATTCACACGCGAACTCATCAACAAGTCTGGCCGTCTGATCAACTTCTTGTTCGGCTGTTAGGGATATGCAGTGCCGCACTATATGTGTCAAGTCCCCCGAACTGCGTGAAGGCATATTACGAACTTATTATGGTATGCGTCATGAGCCGAGCCTGCCGCCAAACTAAAGCACACAAGTTGCCATGTCTACAATGCATGAGTCCCCTTTGTTCCTAAAATTTTCCAGCACGCATTCTGTTGAATATTCCGAATTATTTAAAATTAAACTTTAACTGCAGCAGCTAGGTCGCTTTTCAAAAATTATAAAGGTCACATCAGTCATCAGTAGTATAGAGCACGTGCCCTCTTTTGAGTTTTTTTTTTTATTACCGACTTGCAACCTACTTGCCAAGTATCTTCAAATATAATTGAATCACTTTTTCAAACTATCTGTACACTACTCAAAGTAGTTCGTAGTAAAAGTAACTTGAATAATACTCTAAATACATTTTTAAAGAGGTATTTAGTACCTTAAATACTTCTGTTGAGTACTTAACAGAAGATTAAATAATCACTGCCTGTTATAAAAAAAAAGGAGGGGGGGGGGGGGCGTAGCTTAGTCCGATCACTTTCCGTGATTGGTTCTTTGGTGTGCTTATCGTTTGATTCCGCAAGCGTTAATAAGATTCCCGGGATTTGATAATTACGCTCCGCTCGGGAACAAATGACGTCACATATCGAGGTAGACCGTGATAGAGTTTCCGCCACGGTATACGCACGTACACAACGAAACTTCTTTCCGATGTCGACGCAGATTGGAGTTCCCGACATGGGCGACCTCGAGTACACCGAACTTCTGGACTCTGCGAACGTCAAGCTAGACGCTTGGGTTAAATCTACATACCCGGCTCTCAACGACGAACCATTTACCGGCGAAACCATCGTCAAGTTCTACGCGAGTTTTGTAAAGGTAAGGTTAACAACTCTCTGCCAAATACCCCACATACAAGTAAAGAGAAAAAAACGTTCAGCCTTTCCATTCTCGTGAAGAAGGAAGATGAGCGGAGCTGTGCTCGATACACTGCTGCAACGCGCACGCGCCCGATTCCCGTTTTCTCGTCCTACACGCCGCCGATCCTGGATACGTCTCCAGCGAACCAGAGTCGGTCGCACGGGGCGCACGTGACGCCAAACGGATTCTCCACGAACTCCCTCCGGAACCTCGCCGTCGCACCCGGGAACTGTTCAGCCGGCGTGCATGGAGTGTAGTCGTCGCCGGGCCCCGCGCTTGCGCTTGGCCTCCTTGGCACGATCGTCGTCCGTGGCGTTAGCCCTTTACATCGCTGGTTCTGTTCTCGGCGGCGGCGTTCCAGGCGAGCGATGTGCTCTTTGGCAAGGGAATCTGAAGCGCTGGACGCAGTGGAAGTCGAGGCGACAGCGGCTTTGCAGCGGTTGCGTACCCATTCGCGCTGCTGCGTACGTCGCCGCTCCTTTCGCAGCCTGTCTCCTTTCCCCCAAAGGGCGCGCGGCCGACCCATCTTGAGTCCAAACCGAAACTGATAAGAGCGTATAGGAGCGTAGGAAACAGCGCGCAAAACAGACGAAAACGAAGAAACAAACGTGACGAGCGCTGCGCTCGTTACGTGTGCTTCTTCTTCGTCGTCGTCTGTTTTTCGCGCTGTTTCTTACGATGAATTCCCACCAACGCGCCCAACTATCAATTCTTCTGATAGCTGGAAAGGTTGCCGCCATCTACGAGCGACGGCGGAAACCATACTGGTTGGTGCTTGCCGCCGTAGCTTATAGATGGCGGTAGCTGTCCAGGTAGGTTTGTGTCGACATACCGGCCACGATCCTGGGGAACCTAGCCCTTAACAGCTCCGCTGTAAAAGATTGCCATCGCCTAGCTTAGGCATTTTTTCTGATGCAATCAATGAAAGCGTGAAGCACTAGGACGCAGTTCCTATACCCTACTATACTCCGTCTCATCCTACGATCGACTAAAGCCCAATGCTACAGGCCGCCGAGTCCAATCACGAGCCTGTTAGAAACCACGTGATATATTTGCTCCGTCAAGGCGCTCATACGGAGGGGCCTGCATGCTGGGCTTTTGCTATACTTACACCTGCGTTCCCAGTTCTATGTCACAGCGCGAATGGTAACGACACTCAAAGAATCTCAACCGCTGACCCATCTGCGTATGCTTCGTCCGTATACCGCCGTCAGCTTCGTACGCGGTTGCAGCTAGGATTGAATTGTTATGGCTAAGGCTGAATGGATGGATTATTTTGGCTATGCCCTTTGTAACGGGCGGTAGCTTGCGCCACCTAGCATAAGAAAATGATTTCCTCTTCCACTTGAACATCCAAATTGATTTCCCTCTACATCCCTGCACCTATCATCGGGCCGGGGAAAGAACCACCAGGCTGACCTTTGGGGGATCGGGCAAATACAAAATATAAAAAAAAGGAAAACGCAAACCCGCGTTCTTTACCGGTGTGGGGGTCGCCAATTTTCCTCTGGTCAACATTTTTGGGGTTCTTTCCAAACCAAGACCCACTAAGAGACAGACCACTGAAAGACTTTGGGCCGGAGCCACGAGGGAGGGAGTCCCAATTTTCCTTTGTCTTCCCTGTCTCCAGTTGTGCTAGTTGCTTTTACCAATTTCAGTTTTCCCTAGTCTCCTTCCAGCAACGCTCTAAACTCCTTTTCGTTACCTTAACCCTTTTATAATCCACCCTTCCATCTTCCCCACAAAAACCAAGGGCTCCCCTACTTCTGTTCTCCCCTCAGGGAGGGCAGGTTTAAGCCTCTCGCACCTCAAAACCAGGTGCTCCATAGTTTCGCTCTCCATTCCACATATGCAACAAACTGCATCTATATCTTTAAATTTCGCCCTATAAGTCTTCGTTCTCAGTGCCCCAGTTTTGGCCTCAAGCAGTAAAGAGCTCCCCCGAGAATAATCAGACAAAGTTTCTTTCCTTATTTCCTGTTTTTGTAACCTATAAATAGTTAAAGCTGATTTCTCCTGCATACTTCCTTCCCACATCTCTCTCTCCGCATCCTTAACTCTATTTTCTACTGACTTCGTATCACTGCCCGCCTCTAAACATTTGTTTCTGAGCTTTCGAGTCCGTTTCGTCCAATTTGTGTTTAAGCTTTTCATGTATAGGAACTTATATACTTTAGCTGCCCACCTCATCAGCTCCATATCAGTTAGCCTCTGGTCAAACCTTACTTTACTTGTTGCCTCTCTGCTTTCAAAGGGTGCCCAACCCATATCCCCCTGTACACCTTCATTTGGTGTGTTACCATGTGCCCCTAAGCTAGCCTGCCTACACTCCTTTGCCTTACCTCTTAGCTTGGCTGTACCTCAGATTTCATACACCAGACTGCATTACCAAAAGTCAACCCTGGTACCATTACTCCTTTCTATACCCCCTCACAACTTCGTATTTATCAAAGTTTCACAGTGCTTTCTGTTCCATAATAGCCGAATTACTTTTCCCCTCTTTATTACAATATCTTCATGTTCATTAAGATATTTTCTTCTCTCATTTAACCATACACCCCTATATTTGTACTTTTCTACATGTTCTATTACAGTTTCTTGTATCTCCAGAGGTTCCCCCTTCTCGTCGTTATGAACTAGTATCCTATAGACTTGTCCCTAGTGAAGTTTAGGCCTAACGTATCCCCTTCCCCGCCACAAATTCTAATCATACTTCGTTTCAGGCTAAGTCCAGACGCAGCCGATGCTACAAGCGCGAGTATATGGCACTGAACAGTGCTTGCACTGCACGTCGTGCACGAGCGCGCGTGCTTGGCAGTGACGCTGAAAGCCCCGAGCTCGCGCTTATGACATCAACTTCGTCCGGACCTTAGCTGAAACGAACTATAGTCCCTGCATTTTCTCTCGATTCTCTGCTACAAGTACAATCTCGTCTGCATACATCAGCCCCGGTAAAACATGATTTACATTTTCCCTCCCTCCATGTTAGTCAGATAAAATCCTAAATTGCATTGCTTTAATCTTTCTTTTCCATTTCACTAAGCTATATATTATGAAAAGCAGGGGAGACAATGGGCAGCCCTGCCTAAGTCCTCTTTCGTTGCTGCTGGTTTTGTGGTTTCGGCCTTCCATATTATAAGTCCCTTGTTATCTGCATACATGTGTTCTAGAAACATAATAAAATTTTCATTTAGTTCATATCTTTTCAGTTGATCCCAGAGTTTTGCCTGATTCACATTGTCGTATGCTCCTTTGATGTCCATAAATGTTAGCCATAACGATGTTTGCGTTGTCGTTGCTATCTCATTGCAGTGCGTGATTGCAAATAACTTATGCTCCAGCCTTCTATCCCTTCTGCATGAAACCATTTTGGAGCTCTCCCAGTATCTGCTTGCCCTCCGCCTATTCTTCCATTCTTCTCTTCATAATCTGCATAGCTATTCGGTAGATTACTGATGTTATTGTGATTGGACGGTACGATGTGATACTGTCTTTGTCTACCTTTGCCCTTATAAATAGTCTTATCCGGCTTAGTTTCCAATTATTGGGTACATCCTCTCCCACAACTATTTGGTCAATCCCTTGCCTTAGTTTCAGTTTTTTGCCTAACATTTTAATCACTCTCATTGGTATGCCATCTGGGCCTGTTGCAGTTCCAGCCGGGACTTTACCTACTGCTTTATCCCATTCCTATTAGGTCATCTCAGCTGTTTCACTATACTCCTCCTCTTGTGCTAGGCTGCTGTTACTGTTCCTAAAATCCTGATTTGATTCCAGTTCCGAAAAAGCTGCTTCTATAGTAGGTCTAATATGTATTCTCGTGCCTCTTCCCCTCTACCCTTGTCCCGTCCTGCCTAGTCAGTGTCTGTTGACATCCCTCCTTTCCTTTTTCTTGTGCTTTAATGTGTTCCCAGAACCTTTTTGCAGCATTCATATCATTCCGATTTATCTCTATCATCCCCTGCACTCCTGCCTTCCCAATTTTGGCTTGGATTAATCCTGATCCCTCCTTCTTTTTTTTTCCTGAAAGTTCCCCCACCTGGATGCTACTTCTGCTGGTGCAGCCCCTCTTTTTTTGGCCTATCTGTGTTCTCTAGATACTCTTGGCGCCGCGTTATGGCTAACTTCTTTATCCCACCAACTTTCCAGTTTGTGTTTTAGCCTTCTTCCTTCTTGCTTAATTTGGTATTTCTCCAATTCACTCTTGAAAATATAACTAAATTCTCGTACGTCCATTTGTTTTTTAGTTGCTTGGATACTATAACCTCAATTCGCTTAGATGCTTCTTGCAATTGCTCATCCCTTAAATTAGTGATATCCTTTCGATTTTGAGTGAATATTTCTGCTTTTAATGTGCCAAATTTGATATTGATTCTCTTATGGTCATTCCCTAAGCACTTCGTGCCCTCCTTATCTATTTCCATACGTTCTAAATTGTTGTATAGCTTCCGAGACATTAAACAGTGGTCAATTGTCGATTGCGAGTTGTTTCTTTCCCAGATTATTTTTCCGTCAGTTTTACCTCAGCGCAGTACCAGATCAACGGCTTCACAGAACTCGTCTAAAATCCTCCCTGTTGCATTTGTATACCCATCAAAGTCTTCCAAGTGAACATTCATGTCCCCTGAGATAATTATTTCTCTTTTGGTGCCAATTTCTCTAATGTCCCCTGATACACACATTAGGTGTTGTGTATTTTCGTTCCTTGCGTCGTTCCCTGTTTCAGATACACACAACCCAGTTGTGTGTCCATTCCCGCAATATTGCATTTACCCACGTGTGTTCCCTGCAGCTTTCCCGCACCCTTTCCCAATCCTGTCCGTTTACCAACAGCCCCCCATCTCCCCTCCCTTCCGTTCCCCTTTATTCCGGTTGGATCCTATCCATGAATAGCCTGGTATGTGTGGTGATTCCTCCATATCTTTTAATGTGTTTCCGCTACTCCATATCCCGCAAAG